GTTCAAAATGAATAAGTTCACTTTAAAAACAACAATTGAACTTTCATTTAAGCTCAAATAAATAATCTTTAAAGATAGATTTGATTTGAGAAATATGAAAACAAAGAAAAGTTTGTTTAAGCTTTGAAAATCATATTATTTATTTAGTAACAAAATATAAAACTTAAGAACATGTACTAAATACATCTTTTTCAAAATCTTGATCAAGTTTATTTAGCTTTAATATTTTATCATTTCAAAATAAAGATCAGTTCAAGGCTAACATATAACTTATAAGTAACTTTATTATTATTTTATAAAAATTTGACACGTGACATTTTATGAAAATTATTATAATATCCATATTAACTTATACATTAAATTAATTAGATGAAACTTTACTATATATTAAATTACTATAATAAAAAAATTAAAAAAATATATGATAAATATAAATGTAAAAAGATGTAACAAAAAGATTAAAATAATTTTATTAAAAAGTTTATAAATTACCATAAATTAAAAATCATACATTTGATCAAATGATTAATAAAAATACAACGTTCAAAATATAATATAAGAATTAACAAAAAACTATAATCACAATATATGAAATACTATATATATATATTAATTTTAATACTTTTCTAATATTTTTTATTTATTTTATTATTTATTATTTTTATATTAAAATAATTATAATTATATTTAAAATAATAAAAAATTAATAAATTGTAAATTATAAATTTTTTTGACAGCAAAATAATTCATCACAATATAGCGAGATAGCTTTTTCTAGTAATAATAAAAAATATAAAATTTCACAAACAAAATTAAAAAAATTGACCATTGTTCTATTAAAATAAATTTATAAAAGTGATAAATTAAGTAATCTAATATATATTATATAACAACATACATAAATAAATTTATCACATTGGTGTTTATAGGGACAATTTTTTTAAATGACAAATAGGATAATTTTTTAAAAGAATAAAATATTTTATTTTTATTACGAATTAGATAATTTTAAATTTATTCAAATTATAATTGAAAATCAAATCAATTTAAAAATTTATTTTCTAAAATTAAAAATATTAAATATGTTATTTATTTTTTAATAAATAATTTTAGTTGTTTACCTAATAATCTTATTTAAAAAATTATTTAATTATCAAAATCTTTTAAACATGTTTAAAAATTATAAAGATTAAGTTTATCCAAATCTTCAACAATCTTTTTTTATCTTGATTTAAAAAATTATCTTTGTAAAAAATTTACGTAAGATATTAAAAATTCAAGTAACTTTATATAAGATTTTGAAAATTTAAAAAATTTTCATCTTAAATCTTTAAATAATAAAATTATCAAAATGATTATATCTATTTGAACTCTAATTATCAAATTTATATTTCAAATAAATGCAAAAAAAATAATATTATCTTTATTATTAACTATATCCATTTTAAATTTTAAAAAATTAATTTAAAAATTATCTATTTAATATTAATTGTCATTAAAAAATTCTTTTACAAATTTAAGACTACAATTCATTAACTTTTTTCTAAAGTATATTTTATTACTATTACAATTTTTTTTTGTTTATAACTTTTTTTCAAGATATATTTTATTGTTATCACAATTTTATTATAAAAATAATATTTTTTAATTTATTTTTTCTTTGTTTACATATTTTCTAACATTTTTTATTTTTTGTATAATAATTTAGTCAAGATTACTAAAACGAAAAATATGTTAATACTTCTTTTATTATTTAATTTATCATTCAATAATATTTTTTTATTTATTTTAAAAAGTGTATACTTTATTTTTATTTGATATAATTTTATCGATGTATAAATATTATTGTAAACAAAAATATCCAAATGAAAGACATAATTTTTTTTACCGTTTTCAAAAAAATTATTTTTTAATGACAAATCAATATAATAAATTTTATATATGTCATGAGTTTTAAAGATTTAAATATAATTTTTTTAAAAAATAATATATATATTCATATCAAATAAGTAAAATTATTTTGTGTATCACACATGTTATAATCTAGTTATTAAATAAATCCATTCACTCTCGAATATCGTCTGTTGATATTAAAAATTATATTACCGATATATAATATATAAAATATAATACAAAATATATGAGTAATTCATTTATTTGGAAACGTCATAATGGAAAATTAGAGAAGAAAATCATTGAATAATTGCCATGAAACTCAAATTAAAATCACAGTAATATATAAAATAAATATAATAAATGTCATAATCTAGTAAAAATATTATAGGGCAGGGCATTGAACAGAGCTTTTCCAAAATCCAACCCGACCCATCAATGCTTTCTAAAGCCCCTGACCATTACTTTTTTGGTGAAATTCCAACGCCATGACAAAAAAGGATACCTTGTGGCTTGTCCATGTCCATCAGCTAGCAGCAGTATCCAATATGCTGCACTTGTAATTTATAGAAGTTTCTAAGAAGAAAGGATAAATTCATAAATATAACTTAGGGTTAGACTCTAACTTTGATTTTGGCGGTTAATCATATTGTGTTTTTTTTTTTTTTTAATTTTGCTTAATAACATCAAAATAAAAATAAAATAATAAATCATAATATAATAATTTTTATATTTTATATGTATTAAATATAAAATAAACAAATATAAATTATTAAATATACTTTTTTATATATAATTTTCTTTTTAAAACTTATCATTAATTGTCTATCGCTTGTATAAAAACATAGACTTATTAGTGGTACGTGCTAGTTAATCTAAGAGAGGAGATATATTGATATAACTAAAACCTTCAGATTTCAATTGTCTTGATAAGTGGTAAGTACAACAATTAAAAATTTTAAACTTAATTCAATTAATTATATAATCATTAAATGATATTTAATAAATTAATAATTCAAGTTTCATTCCCGATTTTTTTTAAAAAAAATCATGACTTTTTTATTAAATAAAAAACCATTAACCTTTTTTAAATTTTGTCAAATTGAAATTATTTAATAAAGAAAAAAAAATCAATTTCTTTAACTAAAAGATTTCTGTGGGGGAAGTGAGTGTTTGATTAATTTCAATGAAAATAAACCCTCTGCTTGTCCCATTACAACATTTTACAGAATTCTACTTAAAAAAAAATTCTTATTATAACCATATTTCCTTGCATTTAAAATCGTCATTGATTAGAAAACCTCTTTAAAACTTTGTACAAAAGGAATCTTAGATATATATATTTTTAGATTTTAATTTAATATAAATATTGTTAAAATTAAAAATCGTGAATGATAAGAAATAAACTTTAACACGGTTTATAAAAATATATATATATATTTTTGATAAATCAATAGAAAGAGTAAAAAAAAGCAACCATCTTTAGAAGTGTTCATGGAACGATTTTGAGTTGAACCATAATTAATATTAATAATTTATATATTTATTGAGTCTCCATTGAATTTTTTAATTTCAAATTTTTTTAAGTTCGACTGAATTTGAAAAAGTAAATTTCAAACCACCTATTAAATCTAATTTGTACAATAGAAAAATAAAAAATATTAAATAAAATTTATATATACTTATGTAATTATAATATTTTAATTATATATTTTATTCGAATCGAGTCAAGTTTAAATTTTAATTTTTTTTATCTAAAACTCATCTTAAAATTTAAATGATATTAAAAATTATATCCAAATACATTTAACGAATCTTAATTTTTTATTCAAATATTTTCAAAATTTAAGCTGACATTTGGACCTAAACAGAAAACCTAACCCTTAAACATGCCTAATCATCTCATTCAATGATTCAAAGAAAAATTTTACATTATATTTAACTTCAAATTGAAAACCATTTTTATTTATCTTTTCAATAAATTTTTAATTTAAACATTTTTAAAATTTTGATAAGTTGATTTACAGTCTTTATATAAGTATGCAGTGATGGATTCAAGATATTTTTTTGGAGGTGTCCAATCCATTTATAATATATATAAGCTAACAGATTTACTAATTTGTCAATGGACGAATGTTCAGAAAAAAGTTTTAGAAATGTTCAAGTGAAAATTCTTATTCAAATTTTTTTTTTTAAAATTTTTTGGACACATGCAAATTCATCGATGTAAGTACTAGTAATATTCAATATATTCAGTTAAATATGAATATTTTTTATTAAAAAATCATAGTTTAAAAATTATAAATGTTAAATTTCATCTTTACTTGAAATTATTTCTTCAAATGACAGTTAAGTTAAAATGGAGCTCAAACCTAAATAATCATTCTGAAATAGAGGAAATATGAAAGTAACCAAACTAAACACTAGTACTTTGGTGAACATGAGGAGTTGAGTACTAATGATTTACCAGTAGCTATTATCTAATAGCAATTACTCTCCTCGTTTTTTTTTTTTAAATATCTCAAAATTATATATTTTTTGAACATTTAAATTTAAATTTTTTATATTTTAAATTTATATTTTATATTAAAAATTATGAAATTTAATTTTATAAAAAAATTTAAAATTTAATATTAAATATATTAAAATTAAAATTTTATTAAATTTAGTAAAAATTAACAACCCGAGAAGGAGTAATAAAAGACAGTATACAGGAGTAGTAAATGGTAGATAAAATGGATTTCCTATTTGCGTACGCCTAAAGTAATGGAGGTACAGTGGAAGTAGGCTTTGATGATTCCTTTTTTAAAAAATAAAAAACAAAAAGCAGTGTGTTGTCTTGTTTTCGTTGGAGGCGGACAAGGACTCAAGCTGAGCGGTTAGAGTACCGTCCACTCCAGAGTACACTACACGTGTTCCATTGTCAAGTGTGTGGGGCAACAAGAACATAAAATATCTGTACAATGGTCTTTTACTTAAATATATCAGCAGCAGTATGCACCGGTGCCGCCTATTTTATTAGTATATTTTAACTATATTAATAAATAGTTAAAGTTCAGCATTATTCATCACAAAGATGGGAGCAAACGCGAGAGACAGAGATGATATTGCCGAAGGAACAAGAAACTATTAATGGATACACCCTTACAAGTGACAACGTAGGTTTGATTTCAGAAACGGCAGATATGTGAGCAAAGTCTTAGAAAGAAACGTATTTGAGAGGTTCCCACTTCCCTGAGACTTATTACAAGGGGGGTTGGACAGCATAAGGATCCACTAAGAGAGAGAAGGGAGGAAGAGGGAAAAATTATTTAAAATAAAATCACTTGGCGACAAGCTTATTACGGCCACATAATAATCTCTGCATGCTTTTGGTTTGGTTACCTATTAGTGGCTGGTGCTTAAAAGGGAACAGTCTCAGTGGCAATAGCTCCATCGCACCCATTGAGCAAAGCACACAATAATAGGCCAACTAACCGTCTTATTGAAGCAAACTAAGGGTTTGCTGCTGGTTTTGATGACCCAAATGTTCGGGATGGCTGAACCCTATCACCACTTCAATCCTGTCATCTTCATTCTTTTCCATTGCTTCAATCTGTAAGTCACAAGAACATCATCCTCCAATGCTTGTTCAGTTTTTCTTGTGTATTTCTTTTTTCTAAATAATTGTTTGTCTGCTTTAATGGCGAGCATATAGATTAGCTCTAGAAAATCTAAAATCTTATACCTCTCTTTCTAAAAGTTCGTTTTCTGCTTTCAGCAACTTTTCCTGCATAAAAGAGGAATGGTCACCGATTAGAACACCAAATCCAAGGAAAATGGCACTGTTAAATAACTACTTGTCCTATGCTGTGTCTTGCTATTACGTTTGTGCTTGTGTTTCTCTAGTTTCAGCTGTTCCTCTATACGTGTTTTCAATAATTTTCTTGTCTGTGATGACTTGTGTCATCAGTTGTATCTTTGCTTCTGTATTGACCCCTAGTGGAACAAATATGTTTGATTGAAGGAGGCAGTATGTGTGATTATATCGGCAGAGCAACTACTTTTAGCCATGTCAAACTTCCCCTGCAGAGTTTCGTGTTGTTATTATTTTACCAATTTACCAATTCAGTAGATATTTCTAGAGAACTAGGGTTAGCAGGGGAAACTTACGGTTCAATGATTTAGTTGGTTGAGGACCGAAAAAGAGTAGTGGTAGCCACACATTCGGATTTTGAGGTAGCTAAAGAAAGACTGGTCTAGCAAGTAACCGGAAAATTAATTGTTCAACCAAAGATATATTCGATTCATCCTGTTAGGAGCTTCTTGGTCGCGTAAGTCGACAGCATGGACTAAGTTGAACAACAGATCAGATCATATATATTATATAGATTTAGCAACATCAAGTTGTATACTTGTATTATGTAGATTTAGAATTGTCAGAACACATCTACAAGCTTCAAATCTGCTGGTAGACTATGAGGGTGCTGAACAAGAACTTGAACAATAGCATTTGTAGTATGAGCTCACTATCTATTAATACATCTAGTGTAAGGTTATACTGATGCACCGCACCCCAAACTCCAAAAACCAAAAATAAATAAATAAAAATAAGATAAAAGTCCTATATTGAAGATCTGAAAATTGTTAACTGTAAGAGCATGCAAGGAATGTTTAATATGAAAGTTTCTGTGCAATGGGAATCCAGGAAAGAGACTTATTGCAAACAAAACTATTCTGCCGTATTCAAATGTGATCAAGCCTAAGGCACATGGTAGATAGGGGCAACGATGAGATTGTTCATAGTTTTTGGGGTTGTTTTCATAGGTGCAAGAGTCCAAGTTATGATTTTAAGTTCAATGGATAAAGAAAATAATAAGAGCCAAGCAAAATGAAATCCTGGGAAGGGTGATTTAGAATGGTCCTATTCTGGTTCACGATAGGCTGAAAATTTTCTATTACACTGATTGCAAACAGCTATATTAGTACGGTTAAAATATCCTGCAACATCATAAAATAATAGAACCCAACAGGGATGTTCTTCACAATTTAGGTAAAGCCAAGAACAATGGTTGCATACCTTTTCTTGGAGGGTCAGTACGGACTCCATCATTAATTGTGTCTGCAGAAAAACTTGATCAGGTGAGAATCTCAATAAACATACAGATAGAATAGGTCTCCATATCACATAGCAGCATTCTTGTCCAATAAAATCAGGAACAAACAAAAGATTTCATACTTGATGTGCACAGCGCAAATATTACTGGAGAAAGTCACTTAAAGTTTTGTAGTGGAATAATTTTCAAAAGCATCAGAAGTCAATGATGTACTATGTCTCAGAAATCACGTTTTAGATTTACCCATTCCCTCTCTTGTGCTGAAGGAAGCCTATCCAGTAAAATAAAACAGTGACTTGGGTGATTAAGTTGATTCTTTGGTTGGCAATCATCTTCTAGATTCTCTTGACATGCCAACTTGCTCAAATTTAGAATCTGAGTTCAATCTGTTAGATCATAATAGTGAAAGAGGATGCTAGTAAGGGGTGGGCAAAATAATTCAATGTGAAATACTTTCATTGTTTCAAACCTGGGGCAAAACATCTGTCAATATTCATGGATTTCAATATACAAAACGTCTGTCAAAATTGTTTTATGAAAAAAAAAAAAGTTTTAAATGCAGAGATAATGCAAGTATCAGCAGCAAAATTTCACTTATAGGGGCTGCTAAACCCTGCAATGGAGCATAACTTAACCGAGCAGGTGGTCAATAAATAGGAAGAATCAAATATACATTTGATCACCTCTATAACACAACTCTATGGTACAATGAAAGCTAGCAACTGAAGAGAGTGATAGGGAAATGTACGCTACTATAGAACAAGGGGTGAATGGTTAGTTGAGGTTTTGCAAGATATTTCCAAACTGTAGCTAAAGCATAAGATCTGATTTCTTTGAACAAACTAAGTAGCTTACACAAGATATTTACCCTGATATGCCAAATTTTCCTCAACATGGTATACTAACCTTTCTAGCTCTTATTTCGTAAAGTGCCCTATCAAGTTGTTTCTCTAAGTGTACAAGGTCCATCAGACTCAGCTGCTCAACAGTTGGTTCTTCCAGTTGGCTGTCAACACATACTAATATTTAAAACAACAACTTGTATGATAACTTTTTAGTGTACCATTAAGCAATAAGAAAGTCACCTTTGAACTATATGCAGTAGCTCGGTATGTGAAAGGAGCTGTAGAAAAAAATTGACAGCTATTATTGACGAGAAATACCTGAATAGACCACACCTAGGAGCTCAGAGCAATCTAAAATGCCAAAACTCCTCATTAGCTTGACTAATTGATCTGTAAGTCCATTTTGTTCTTTTTTTAAAATAAAACCTCTTGATTAGAAAACTTCAGTTTACTCATTATCTGAAGGGCAAATAGGCAGTTAAATAGTTCCATTATCTGAGATAAGAAGAATCATGTTTAAAGCATATGGAGAACATGACCATTGACTACTAATAAAAATACTAGGATGCAAATTACAAGCAGCATCAATGTAGTTAGAGAACAAATTCACCCAACAGAAACCCAAACCCTAGGCTTAAACGTATTGGTAAAATTACAGTGAAGCAAGCTCTGGCTGATTGCTTATCAGTGTCAAGGATCAAGGATGTCTAAGCAACTGAGCTATTTATGATCCTTTAATTAGCAGCATAAGGACCTAAGAATGGCTGAACCAATTTTAATTTAGCACTTAGGAGCATAAGGTACTTTGGAGAGCATGCAGACAAACTGACAATTACAGTTATTTGCACAACCTCATATTTTCGTGCAAGCTTATGAAAGCAATTATTGAACGGTAGTTGGGCCAACACTGATCACACTGTTCAAACACTTTGTCGATTGACAAGATATCTATATCTGTTAGAACCTCATTTACAAATCAGCTTTGAAGCCAAGAGCTCTTAGATAAACAAGGGTTTCCTATTAGTGGTGTTCTGGTACACAATCACCAGCAACCAGTCATGCAGAATCTTAACTGCACAAGTATGAGCAATTGATAAATCATTTGATACCTCTTTCAAAAAAGATGTTTCTCAACATGTGATGGACAGCACTAAGCTCACTGTAGAAAGAAGAAGGATCACTTACTGCTTCATTAACATCTTTTGAAGCCTCAGATTCCTTTTCATGGTGACTCTGATAGCGTTCAAGAATCTTGGCCAAACTGGAAAAAGCTTAATCTCATTAATCATAATAACAAGTAGATCAAAACTGTTTAGTATTACATAAAACAAGTTTCCATGAAAAAGTTGTGCAAGTCCTGAGCATTCTATATAAAGATATGCTATCTTATATGATATATTGGAAGACAGTGCTACAAAAGATATCAACTTGACGAGTTGTATAAGGCAACCTTACAAAGAGGTTCAACATCTATGTTATGTTCATGGGGGAATATTCATACATTGACATTATTGACAAAAAAGGGCTGACTAGGCAAATTAAACTAAGGCCTAAAGAAGAGTAAATGTAGTACTTGGAGTAGTGAAAGAAGTTTTAGGCATAGATTACTGAATACAAGTGAGCTCACAAGGGACAAGTCAACAATTAAAGTAAAAATAAATGACCGAGGATAGAACTAGAATATATAGTTCCTAGCATCACTTCTTTTGCAAAATTCCTTCACATCAGAGCCTGTTTCACTCCATTCACGAAAAACTCTATTAAGTTGCATACCAGTATCCCAATCCCCAACATTTGAATACCATAATGCACGTAGGCACCAATATCATTCCACCAGCCAAAACCAGAGAACTTATCACCAAAACTCATCTAAGAATCCTTAAGGATCAACTGATTTACATTTCAAAAACAACTAGTCAAACCTATATTGTACAGAATAAAACTGCCCACATTTCAAACCTAAAATATGGAATAGAGAGGGAAAAAATGGAAAAATGAAAGTGAATATTATCGTTCTTTCAGACCAAATTTTGTGATAGAGCTTTACTAATTAATAGGTAACTTCCTCGCATAGTACCAAAATTCCTCTTGAATCATTCCCACACCAATCTCTTCTATTTTTGCAAAATTGATGAAGCACACTAGGATTCCACAACCACCCCTCTTTTCCCCATTTGCTATAACAAGCAACCTTGAACAAGTTTAAATACCATCCACCACCAAGTTTTGGTGTGCTTTTATCTCCTATCCTTTTTTTCCCATATAATAGATATGAAAGAACAATGTTGACCTTAGCTGTTTCCTCAAGAATTAGCATCCACCACAATATTATAACAACTGTTAATTCTAAGCCAATAATTAACTTGCTTCCATGTTGTTAACAAAAGATTGCAATTGTACCATCATTTATGCTATTATGCTATTTCTCAATGTTAAGAATATGTAAAGACGTCTCCCACAAAAGAAAAGAAAAGAGAGAGATCTTAGGTTCAAAACTTGATAGTTTTCATCTGTTCAAGAAAAAGGAAGATGGGGAAGATGGGGAAGGGTGGGAAGAGTATAAGGCACAAATAAACTATTTATAGGTTCTAAGCTTTGATTTCTAGGTTGTTTGTTGGGATGAGGACTCCACCAATGATAGAATCTCATCTGCATGGTATCTAAGCATATGACAATGAAGTAATTTGCCCACTTGACCATAGGAAACTAAAATGGGAATCATCTACTTGACAATGGAAGAGGAGCAAGCAACCAAGTTAGACATATCTTTCATAGATAACTCCCAATTTTGAACCAACTTATTAAGCTGGTTTTTAAGTGCATCGAGCAAAGGTCCAAATGTACGAGATAAGCCCCTTGTTGCATTAGTTTTTATTAGAAGAGTAAACGAACAGAACGTTCGATGAACAATTTGTGAATAAGTTCGGTTCCTTGTCATTTATGTTTGTTTATTAAACTTAACAAACTATCACGAACAACATTTCATAATTCATTAATTAAACGAACAGATCATGAACAAAGCAAAGTTCATTCATGTTCGGTTCATTTAAACATAGATGTGTGAATGAAGAGAGTGTTCAACAAATAGTTTGTGAACACTCTTAGTTTCTATTCATTTATCAAGTTTAACAGATGATCACGAACAATATTTTAGAATTTGTTAATTAAACGAACAGATCACAAACATAATAAAGTTCATTTATAAATGTTTACACCCCTATTTTACATTTACATGGGGTTTTAGTGCACTTGCATACACCACTAAACGTAAGCCTACTAGTTTTCACCATCAAAAAGTGATTTTCACCATTTTCCTTTAAGAATGTCTATAAAAGCATATGACAATCAAAGTCAAAGACTTGGTATCAAGCTTTAAACCATCATTTTAATATAATTCCTCTAAATCAACTTAAGGCAAAAAAGAACAAAAAGTTACTAGATTAGGTTTAAAAAAGGACTTCTTTTTTTGAAATCTTGGTAATACTCCATTGTATGACATTTAAGCAAGCAATAGATTTTTTTGTTGATTACTAGCAATAAACAATTTCAATTTGATAAAAGACCAAACATATGCGACGCATCATATTTACACCTAGACATAGTAGTCCATATGTTGTCAGTTTCCTTCATTAATAAAGCAATATTTGCAACTTAACACCCAAGTGAACACAATAAAGCTTAAATCATTTCCTCATAATCATAAGCTTCTTAAAAGTTTTACGCCAATGCTGTCATTCTCATATTTACACAATCTCCACCCTCCTAAATCTTAAACAACTCACATATCCTTCAACCTAACATCAGTATTAACTTTTTACTAAATTTGCACCTACTAACAACATGATTTTGTCCACTAGACTTTGCTTCTAAATGCAATTGGTGATTGTGAATATTGCCATATAGTTTAAAAACTAGCTCTAGTTAAGTACCATATTTTAAATTCTTGGTCCTTGCATCTTAAATTTTTAGGATAATAAAACAATTGCACCTAATGCTTCAAACAGCCAATGCTTCAATATCATGTAAAGATGTTCAACCTAATGCAAATACAGAATTGTCAGAGAAACCTAATAAGAGTATTAGCAGCATTGCAAAATTAACAAAAGTGAAACTGCACCACTTAACTCTTAACAATGTCTCTTTTCTCATTAAAGTATAGAACAAACAAATATATGAGGTAAAATTTGAAACCATGTACTTAACCACTCTTTTTGTCACTATATTGGCATCAATGGCTAGGCAACCTTGTTTGCCAAAGTTTTCATGGTTTTGCTTTTTTTAATTTTAGTGTCCACCAGGTGCTTGGGCTTATTTTCTCTTTAAGTGTAAGTTGCATAAATTAGAGTTGATGGGTTTCTTTTTTAGTGTAAGTTGCACAAATTTGAGTTGATGTGTAATCAGGTTTTGTTGTCCTTTTGATTATATTAGCATTATCTTGTTTTCTTTTTTATATAGTTTATTTTATTGGAGAAACCTAATGCATTGGCTTTTTTGTAATACTTATCATCATTATAAATTGTTTGTTTAACCGGAAAAGATTGCTATCACTTAGGATGAGTGTCTAGGTAACAAAACTGAAAACAGCGTAGTCTAAGAGATAACTCTTGATGAAAGTGATTTGACCCATAGAAGCGAATTTGGAAGAGGGGGTTGATACTAGGTCAACTATGTGATAAACAAATGACTACAAACAAGAACCTCATGGCAGCCAATTCCCTTATTAAATAAAATAGAATAAAGTTGTGGCATTGAACAAGCTCATGCCGTCAAAAGAAATGGAGAGATGAGCAATGACTATATTCTTTCATGCCTTTTCAACTTTAGCTCTTAAAGCTGCTAAAGAATCCCATGCTATTGAATATAAGTAACCCTATAACAAAAAAAAGAGGACTAAAGCTTTTGACTTTTTTCGTTCACTTCAATTGAGGATTGAAGCTAAAAGGGCTTGTTTGAAGGAATTGATAAATGCACAGGAAGAATTGTTGTTAGATTCTATACCAACGCCATTCTCTCCATCAACAAAGGAAAGTTGAATCACAAGGGTACAAAACATAAATATTCAAGGCAATCCACCCAACACAAAGCAAATAAAGGAAACCCCTATAAAGGATAGCACATTATCCAAGTGAACTTACAATGGAATGGCTTATCCTTTTTCTAAAAAGTGATAAGCAAGATAGGCAAAAATAGAGGGCAAAGCAAATAAAATCTAAAAAGCCTAAGATTCAGGGAAGAATGGGAAGGAAAGAGGAAAGGAAGCTTAGGCCAAGACCCTCCTTTTACAAGGGAAGAATTCTATCTAGGCTAGGGTCTAACTAAATATTCTATAAAAAAGAGATTTGAAATCCACTTATTCCTCAATGGCTTGCACAGACTCAGGAAATTACTCGACTTACTAATTCGACCCAAACATTTTCGAGATGCCCCTAATTACCAACAAATGGCAAATGCTTTTCCCTGTGTGGTTCATATTTCAATGGGAACTTGATGAGTCGATCTACTTACACATCTTGCTTTTACTGCTATATCAAAAGTTACTCCATGTATTGCTTGACGTAAAACAGAGAGTGGATTTGTTTCTATCTTTTGTTGAATCTTTTTCAAGGCTCGATAGATAATTAGATAAGCCAATGATTTTTTTTGCGTTTCAGAATACGGTTAACCAGCATGTTAACTAATCGATTATGATAAATTGGATCAGATTTTGCAATTTTTTCTTTAGCAGTACCTCGACGTGATGTGAGCATGAAAAGGATTCAAGAATCCTCTTTTTTTTTTTTTTTAAGGGTTAAAATAATTTATTTTGACTTTTTGACCTTGTGGGAAAACACTTATTTACAACTGGTTGTAATCTTGTAATCTGTATATTTATATTTGTATCTCTAGAATTAAAGAAGATTTAATTTCCTAGTTTAACCCCTAGTTAGTTGTATATAAACCTAAGATTCTTGTATAATTCAAAATAAGCAGTTTTTCAATATACATTCAGTTTCCACATGGTATCAGAGCTATAGGCTCTTTTTAGGAAGCAAAATTTTCAGCCTTCATTGCTAACTTTTTTAGGCCTTCATTGCCGAATCCTGTTTAGGCCTTCATTGCCGAACCCTTTCAAAGAAAGATATCACTACCACCCAATTTGAGAAAACGTTAACTGAAAAAATCATTGGAGTACTACAGATGTCTCAAAAACAAGGAGAGTTCAACAAGGAAGAGATTGAAAAGCTGAGAAACTTATTGAAAATCCTTGAAAAGCCTACTATG